ACGAAATTCAACACATTGATGGACAAGATGTATTGCATTATGGGATTTGATAAAGAGCGAACACAACTAAATTTGGTTTGTCGGTATCTAACAATTGTGCAATCATCAATGATTAAATATATTCGCTTACCAATTGTGGATGATGCCAATGTAGATATCATGTTGGAAATTCCATCTATTCATCCCTCTATCAGCAATGTTAAATTGTGTTTAGAAATGGAATCTATTGAACTTGCTGAATATAGGACTCAGTCCATGAGTTTTGTTTTATTTGTTAAATGCTAACAGAAGACAATGACATTTTGTTGAATCATGCTAATGCCTGCCCTGCTATTCATCCATTTTCGCCAAGTAGTAGTGAACTTACCATTGAAAGGCAAGTATCAATCATAGGTAATATTTTTGGATTCTCATATTACAAAAGTATTAGCCAATATGACAAAGATACAAGTATAAATATAATTGTAGTGGAACAATTAGTTTATTCTGAATCTAATGATATATTCTAATATATGAATGCGAATGATGAAGTACTTGAAAAAGAAAATGAGGAACATAAAAAGCAAGAATATTTTAAAGAAGTGAATCTTGAAGTCAATAGTATTTCTTTAGAAGTGCCAGTTCATGAGCCAAATATGCCATTATTCACTAATATTGATCAAGTTGATGATGCTATTAGTAGTAATTGGACATTACAAAGCCAAAGTTTTGTTTGGAATCTTGATCTTGAGTTGAGGAAAGGTTTAATTTTCTAAGATAAGGCGGAATTGAAAAAAGTTGTACAATTGTACTCCATTAAGAGACACCAAAAGTATGAAATGGTGGAAAAAATGATATGATCATTGACATGTAAAAAACATCAAGAAAGTGGATGGAGGCTTCATGTGTATTAATGCAAAAGTCATAGACTTTTTTAGATTACTCAATATGATGGTCTTCATACATATGTTTACCTAAGGTTAAGTTGTGATCACCCACAACTATACTCAAATTTGTTAGCACATGAGATTGAAAGTCAAGTGAAAGTTGAACCTTTGATTACAATTACAGCTTTAAAAGCCAAGATAAGAGACACTTTTTCTTCTGATTTTTCATACAAGAAGATGTGGAATGCAAAACAAAAAGCCATCACAAATGTTTTTGGTGATTGGGAGACATCTTATAAGGTATTACCTAAATTTATTGTTGTACTTGAAAAGTATAATAGGACTATCATTATGTGGCAAATTGAGCAGTTGCGAGATTCTACTATTAGAGTGTTCGAATTATTCCACCATGTCATTTGGGCTCTTCCACCTTCCATTGGAAGGTTCAAGTATTGTAGACCAATTATAAGTATTGATGCTACTTATTTGTATGGAATATATAAAGGTAAAATGCTTATTGCAATAAGAGTTGATGCTAATAACCAGCTTTTACCACTTGCATTTGCAATTATTGAAGAAGAATCTTTTGATAGTTGAAGATGGTTTCTTACTTGCATTAGAGAGAAGGTCACTCAATGAAAAGGGATTTGTTTGATATATGATAGTCATGGCAGTATTCATGTAACAGTGAATAAACCTGGCTCTAGATGGCAAAAACCATGGGCTTATCATCGATTTTGCTTGCGACATATATGTAGTAATTTCAATGATAAGTTTCATAATAAAAACTTGAAAATACTTGTCTATAAAGCTGGAAATGCACACCAGTTGTGGAAGTTTGATACCATAATGAAAGAGATAGAAAAAATTAATCTCGAAGCTCATAAATGGTTAGATGAGATACTGATGCAACAATGGGCACTGGCATATGATGGTGGTCGACGTTATGGAATAATGACAACTAATTTATCTAAGGTGTTCAATAGTGTGTTAAAAGAAGCTCGAAATTTACTTATCACTGTATGTGTGCAATTAACCTTTTATCGATTGGGTAACTGTTTTAGCACCATGCGAGGCTTTGCACTAGAGGTATTGGCAAGAGGAGGCTTGTACACTCCTCATGTTATAGCTAAACTTCAAGGTTACTTGGCAAAGGCCAACATACATGATCTTGTCCCATTTGATATACAAAAATGAGTGTTTGAAGTAATAATTGCATCTTATGGTGAGAGAATGCAACAAAGTCATAACAAACAAGTTGTTCAACTTGATAAAAGAACATGTACATGTGGAAAATGACAAATTTATAAGTTTCCCTGTTCACATGTGATAGCTGTATGTGGAAGGTTGGCACTTGATAGTTGGCAATATATAGAAGAGTATTATTCCATTGAACAATTTTCTCAAACTTGGGCACCTTAGTTTAATCCAATCCCTCATGGAGCTTATTGGCCAAAGCCTAATATTTCACAATTATTACCGGATCTTGATCATAAACGCTCAAAGAAAGGTTAACCCCAGTCTACACAAATTAAAACTAAGATGGATATCAATGAAGGTCGAACAACAACTCGTTGCAAACTTTGTAAACAATCGGACCATGATTGCAAGACATGTCAAATGAGAAGACATCAAGATTCAAATGCAGCTATAGTTTAATATGAGATATAAGATATTTCTTATTCTTTTTCATTTTAGTTTATAAAAGACGTAATTTGATCAACTTGTTTCTTCACAGAATTTACCATCACTTTATGTTTCTCTCACCCTTTTTCTACTTCTGACTTCAATTTCATAGATTGATAAAAGGAATTTATTTGTCTAATGTTGGGAAAGAATGAATATTCATGAGAAATATTATTTTTCTTCTCAAATTAAAAATTATTTAATCCATATTTTTTCAAATATATGCAGGGTTACCAAGAATTTTAAGAAGATTCCTATCCAAAATTTGTGTAGAGAGTGATTGCAGATGGTATATCCAAGTAGTTTTGTTGATTAAGCATACTGTTTTCTTTTTAAGACATGAACTTGTTCATTTTGTAGTTTCATAAAGGTTTTATGATTTTGTTTTCAATTTACTAGTTTTATCTTTTAATTATATTACAGAAATGTTGGTTACTTTGTAATTTCATTATTTCAACATAATTTGTTCAAAGTAATGAGCATAAAATATTTAAATTTTTTTAGCCTAAATAATTAGCAACTTTCTATTATTCAACTGCAGATATGTGCTTAATTCAAAGAAAATTGAAAAATTTTATTACCCAAAACAAATCAGGGAAGCTCTGATACAAAGTTAACAACTGCAATAACAACAAACAAACAAATATAAAAGAGAAAAAAAAAATTACATTTTGAATAGTCCTTCACTAAGTCCTCATTTATTATTGACAATGTCACAAGAAATCCCAATGACATTTGCAAGTCTCTGCATATTCTCTGCAATTGATCTTGATAGAGATGCATATCTAGAACTGATTTTAGTTTTAGCTGACAACTGATCTTTACTTGCTTACAACTAGTCGTGATAGAGCAGCATATCTGGAGGAGAATCCAAGATACAAAACGCCTTCAATATCATCATCGCCACAATCTTCATCAAAGTTCTGTATGTATTTTCTGTTCGGTTATGATCTGGAGTTCACGATTGCCCATAATCTCATGGCTGTCAGCAATGGGACCTTGTTATTAATAGTGGTATATGTTAATAATGTGGTATGGCAAACCCTGTATTTAGCATCTAGCTTACTTTCTTGATAGTGCTCTTTATTTTTATTTCAAAAAGCAGTTTCATAAAGCTATGTAGATACTGTCAGCCTTACTGACTACTTGGATTTTGGGTGTGTGGTAGAAATGAAGGCAAATTGTTCTTCCATACTGTAATTGTATAAACATAAGAGAAAAGAATAAACTAACTTGACCATCTTAAAAACTATTAACTTGACCATCTTACTAGTTGATCTAAAAAAGTCTAAGGAAAAGTCTAGTAGGGAGACGTAGAAGGTCCACTTTTGGCAATAGGTTTCTTAAGAGTTTAAAGAAGAGAGAGCTTAGTGGCAGGGGTTTGGGTGTTTTTTTTTTTTTTTTAATTTGTTAATTTTTGACATATTTGTTGACATAGAAAGTTTATTTTTTATTTATATAAAAAATGACATGGAAATGATGTGGCTTATACAACTTTGTTTGGGGAAATAAGTTTAAAATACCACTAATTAAAGAATAAAAGTTTTAAAGCACATCATTTTGAGAAAAAAACTCCAATTAAATCATCTTTTAAAACAGTAATTTAATCGTATTCAATATCACCTTGATGTAAGATTACTAAGTAATTATTAAATACAATAATTTAATTATCATGAATAAATCACTATAATAATTTGAGTGATCATCCCATATAAAACACTTCACGAGATGCATTTAAGTAACAGCCCAACGATGGAGTGAGGAGGCTGAAACCCCCCCCCCCCCCCCCCCCCTCCCTCCAACTACAAGGGAAACGGTCCAATGAACCACTAGACCCTTGCATAATCCATTATCCTGATTAGAAAAATTAATTATCTTAGTATAAAATTTAAAAATAAAAAGATTTTAATTATAACAGTGGATCATGGAGTGTAAAATTTTTTAAAATAAAGTGATTTTCGATTATGATAATTGATTGTCACAATCCACTGACATAATTTCAATTTATTATCATATTTATTTTCAACATTATTTGTATAGAAATTCATATTAGCCTTATTATTATAATATTTAATTTTACCGTCACCATCATTTTCAATCTCACCACTTATTCATATGTCACCGTCATTTTCAATCTCACCACTTATTCATATGATTCTCACCATTTATTATTCATATGATTCTCACCATTTATTCAAATGATTCTAAGTCCGATGAATTAAAATGCTATTTATATTAATATTTTTGTATAAAATGCAACAATTGACCGTTTTGATAAATTGCAATGAATTAAAAAATATATATAATTATTTAATATGATAATGTTTAAAGTGCCCTCATTAGTTAAATCCCAAAGAGAAAAGAATATCTAAAGCAACATAAGATAATGGTATCTTTTCTAAATAAAACCGACGACATTGACTCTCAATGCACATACAACAAAGAACCTAGGAAAAACCTTCCGTTTATATTAAAAGGTCTCTACCACTGAAACTTGAGGAGAGAATTCATTTTACCCCCAATGGGTAGGCTATCCTAAATCAGGGGCCAACGCAAACAACCGCGGCGGAAAGTAGAAAAAGAATTTTAAAAAAATGAAAACTGAAACTGAAACCTTAAAATACATATTATAATTGGAATGACAAACATAAGAAAATTCAAACTATTGAACCGTCTGCTCAGCCATGATGTAGACAGTGTATTCGTATTCAACGAAACCTACCGCGGGAGCCAAGCTTCCCATTCCTGAACTATGAGACCAGCAAACCTCCTTTCATGGAACTGAGATGGGAAACAGCACTGATAGTTCCAACCATGGATAATTTTACAGCATAAATCAATCCAATGCAGTGTTCTCTTCGTGAGCCTTCTGAATACCCACCAAGCGAGCATAATCCACCCACCTATAAAAGCAAATTGGAAATTGTGAAAAGTGAGAAGCTGTAGGCAACAAAAAAGACTATACCATCGTGGAAAGTAAAATATTTGAAGATTGATATCGAATCTTACAATAGAGAACCCAAGTACGTATTGCCTGTTCGAACAGCAAAGCATATTGCACTCAATATAAGCTTGTGCTGGTGTAGCAAAGGCTCTAAAATCCGCTGTTCGATAACACCAGCCAGCACTTGGTACCTTTTCATCAAAACAAAATCCTCAGTAAAACATTCCAAATTTTGACAAATCTCAGGTCCGAACATTTGTGCATGGAATTAGAATTTCAAACATGCTTCTTTCGCACGTATGAATCTGGTAACAAACATACCAACTTCTAACATCAAATCTGCTCCTATACAGGCAGAGAATTATAAAATGAACACAATAAAAAATTTATAGAGAAGGGTGCAAAGCATTCTGTGGCGTGAAAGTTTTAAAAGATGCTGAATATCTTCAAAGGGTTCAATAGTTGTTCATTTTTTTACTGTGATATAATTTGCTAAAGAATTAAAAAGACGTCAGCGATAGTAAGGCTCAATTAGTATTTAAATAAATTTAACACGGCAAGTTTGAATGTAGATTTTGAAATGCCAAATAAGTAGCTAAAGTTGGAAAGATGTCAGTCTCAGTATTGCTTAAATAGTATAAGACAGCATCAAAATGGAAAAAATGAACTTGGGAAATCAAGGTAAAAATTAATGCTCAAATGAATTTTAAACAGTACAAAAAGGAGAATTAGAAAATTATTATTTTGAACTCTCAGATAGGTCTGAGAATTGATTTTTTTAATATCAGCACCCTAAAACAAGAGCATCATGGTGAAATCGCAAAGTACAATGGCTTAGAGTGGTTCAGTCATAAAGCCATGTGCTGGAAAGGAATATTAGTAGAACAATTACATGATTGGAGACCTAGAAGGGTCACACTTTTTTTTGTGATGTAAAGCTAAACTCTTAATGAAAATTAGTTCACTCCTCCCCATCCCCCACCCAATAAAATATACATATAGTTAAAAACAATCGCAGATTGTGGTGACTCCCAGGATACTAAAATGAGTAACAAAAAGTCCCCATAACTTGGGGGAAAATAAAACTTTAAAGCCCAAATAAAAAGAAAATGACTTGCTAAAAATGAAAGGGTTGGGTCAGAAAGGCATAAATAAAACAGGAATATTTCTCCATTATCTTCTATTTTTAACAAAAAGATTAAATATCCAGCTCATTAATTTTGTATGTCCCAAGCTAACCCTCACAGGTATATCACAACAAATAGTGATGGACAAAGGCACCCTTATTGTACCATGTACTGACGACTTGCACATAAAATTTCGGTAGCTGTGGCCAAAATGAGAATCATGCCTCTAAATTATATCTATGACTTTGAACAAATCAGTATAAAACAGACCTTAAACTCAACATTGGTGATACCTGCCTATTGGTTAGTTTACCAAACTGACATAATTCCAACAAAGTATACGACATTTTGTGTAAGGAGAAAATCCATCTAAGATCTTTCAATACACATACTTAAAAAAGTCTTCTATAATAGCTAAATTTATGGCCAGACAATCCAGTAGCTAGACACATATTCAGAGGCAACTACAGAAGAGCTGGTTTTCCTTCTTCTACTGAGCAAATAACTATATTAGCATTTGACCCAAAAAAATAGCTTGTAGAATCATAGTGTTCATTGATATCAAAACAAGCAATCAAAACATTCTAGCTACCTGTTAGACTGATGATATTTAAGGCTAATACTTCAACAACAATTAAGATTTCAATAATTTGTTGAAATGATTTTCCACAATAAATCAGCAATTCATTATTAGCTCCCAAGAGGACACCCCAGTGCTTAGGAGTTCAATTCCAAAGTGGAGTTCTACAATTCTAATCATAGGATGGGAGAGATAGGGGATTATGCTATAGGAGAGCAACACCCCATTTTGTATCCCACCATTATGTCATATTATCAGAATGGAACACTGTTATCGATTATAGTAAAAGCATTTCCATGAACAATAGAAAAATCCAAGCCTTAAGAAATAATATTCTCTAAAAATATGAAATCCACATACCTGAGGTTGCTAGAAACTGCCATATATACACCATAGGCAACACTAGTGGATAGTATGGGCACATTTTCAACTTCGGCTGTGGAAGACTTATCAACAGCCTTTCTTGCATTAATCAACGCATTTGTGACAGCTGTGCCAACCTACAAGAAAAGAAATTCCATTAAATGCCAGCAAATCCAGATTTGGGTTTTCAGTTTGATAAATCAATTTGCAAAATGCAATGATATTCTTTATAGAAACGGAAAAGATATTAAGATTTGACAAAAATTGAAATGCAAAAATAAGCTTTGTTACTGTGTCAATTAGATTGGAGACAATTTTCAGCAACATGAAAGAATAAACAAGTACAACAACAACAAACTAAGTCTTATATCTCACAACTCTGGGATTGGTTTTACGAAAAGCCAAAAAAGGGAATTATGTTAGGTCGTAGTTTTGAATCTTCTTGCGCCACTCATTTCTATCAAAAACAACATTTTCATCTACTTCCTTAACCAATGAAAGAATAAACAAATAATGAGGAAAAAAGAATAACAGCTGCCAAAAACTTACCAGTGAAGAAGCAGTGCCTACTGCAAAAAGCTTTGCCCCATTACGCTGCAGAGCACATACAATTAAAAAACAAAATGATGGTTTGTTCATACGTCAGATATTCAGATATCTTATCTTTTAAAAGTTTAAAAGACACAAAAGATCTCCTTACCATTACTGCACCTAATCTCTGCAAAAGTGAATACGAAGTCCCAGGGAGAGAAACCTGCAGACAGAATTTCAAGACCATAAACCATTTTTATTTTAGCATCTTAGAAAGAAACTTAGAAAATTCTCCATGCAACTTCATCAGCAAAGAAAAAACAGAAACCTGAAAAGCATTATCAGGGCAGCCATAGAAGAACTTGGAAATAGCTCCGGCACTGACTGCAAGAGGAGGCCGGAGAGAGACAGTAGGAGCAGGAAGATAAACAAGCATGAAATCTGCAATTATGGCCATTACCTAGAAAAACAAGTTGGAATTTTAAAATGATAGAAATAATAGAGTTGGACATATAATTCGTAATAATCTATGCATTATTTGCAATGGATCTCTCAAGGTCAGGGAAGATATGCATTATACAGCCATAATTTCTGAAGCTTAAAGAATACAAATTTTCCAAAGAAAGCCTCATTGCTTCCTAATAATACCAATTTCTGCAGATTATAAATATTGCTTACAAGAATGTATCTATCTGCAACTAATTCTATTGCTCAAATACAAAAAAACTAGACAGATAATAATCGGCGCCAAATCTCCTGATATATTTTATAATTCTGAGAAAAGAAACAGAAGACAAAAACAAAAGGATCTTTCTTGATGTTACTCATTAACCGATAGCCTTCATTAAATCAACATAAAAAACCATCACCTATTATATTAGTTCATATTGTTTCACAGTCCAGTGAAGTACTAGAATCTGTAGCTTTTTGATATTCCGATCACATGAAAACGCAAGACACATTCTTTTAGGAGAAATTCCTAGATCCTCTTTACTGTAAAGGAGAAAAGCTATCCTCTATTACTACTTTGTTTCATTTAGTGAGTTGATAAAACTTACTCAACTAGGATCTGAATTCTTAATTCTCAAGACCTGATTTCTCTGACAAAACCTTAATTTTAATTCAATCATACTATTTTTCCCATTTATCTTTCAGCAAAACTCCATCTCTAATCTGTCTCAGATGATACTTTTAGCAGCCTAGTAGAGAAGGAGCATGCAAAAAACCACAGAAGGTGTGGTTTAGTGTTAAAGGCTTATTACACTTGTTGTTAGATTGCTAGGGCGACATGCATATGTGTAGGAGTCACATGTTGGTTTCTGGGGAGAATGAGACCCATTCATTCCCATTAGTCTTGAGCTATCAACTTCTTTACCACTATGCCCTCAATGGGTTGGGGGGGGGGGGGAAGCTATCGCTTAACCCACTTGATGGATGGCCTAGAGCATCTGCAGCAAGCCCTAAGGAAGAGCCCAACGTCTACAAGCTGTACATTTTAAGGCCCCTCCCGGCATTGGTTCCCAAGTTGATAGGGGCTCCCATACTCAACCCAAATAGGGCTGCCAGGACTAGTAAGTGGTAACCCCATTTATCTTTTTTTAGCAAAAATTATATATAAAGCTTCAGCTGTGAATTCAGTATGTTCATCCAATTAACTTAATGATAAGATTTTTGGTTTTAAATGAAAAATAATAATAGACATTCCTACCAATGCTTAAAATCTATATGTGATATATTTAATATTACCAATGCATAATATTGAACTACTTCAGTTTAAAGGTCATAATCAAAGAAAATTTTATGCAGCTCCTAAATTCATCTAACAATGATAAGGCGGCTGACTACTTTTTTTTTTTTTTTATGGAAAATAGAGCATTAAATGGATGCTAACGGATTTATTTTCCTTAAGTCATGACAATAAATTTTTGCTTTGGATTTTGAGATTGAAAAGCAAAAGTTTGTCAATCAAGAAATTGTAAGGGATCAAAATAACAGCCTTAAAGTGGCATCAAAATTCAGAATCTGCCATGAAACCCATTCATTTGCACAAAGACATCCTCAAATTTTTTCTTTGAAGAAGTTAGACGAACAAACCATCCTTGCTATTCAGACCAAAAGAAGGACGAAAAGTGCATATTTAATAGAACTAGTCCCATACCACATCTGCAAAGACAATTTCAAGCTCCTTGAAAAAGTTTTCTCTGCGACGTTCATATTCTGCAGCAGTCTAGAAAACAGGAAATAATCATAAGTATAATAAGTGTTAAGATTGAATCAACAGCACTGAATGAGTCACACAAAATGGAGGAGTACAAGAGAGACTGAGGTCATTACAGAAAACAATACTTTAAAAGTAGGACAGTGCAAAAGACTAAAATGTAGGTTGAATTGCTTATGCTAAGACTCAACCAAGTTATTTTACTAGCTTACCAAGAATAGTTGTCAATTAGCCACGAGTCACAGCTGACACAATCAGGAACATGTAATCCTAAAAAAACCATGTATTAACACAAGCAAGACAAATGGACTTCAGCATGGATAAAACCTTGCAACTTGGTCAATTCAAGCACTTCTCCACTCCACAAGTCCTTATATAGGCAGTTTTTTTTTTTTTTTTGGATAAATATATAGGCAGTTTTCTTCCTAAGATACATCTCATTTTATTCATGGTTCCCTCCAAAATTTTGACTTAAATTCTAAAGCTAACAGAAGGCAAAGTACCACAAAATTTTGGCTAAGATTCATCCTACAGACAAATATCACAAGAAAAAAAAAAGTAACTTCAATAAATCCTAGGTTCAAAAAAAGATATTAAGTTTTTCTTCCGCATTTATCCAAAATTTATCTATCCTTGCTACAAAGTACCCATGACAATGTATAATTTTACTAATTTCATAACAAATCAACCATCATAGGCTGCTTAGCATTGATTAATAAATGAAAACTGTATCATAAATTGACATAGCAATAAAATGAAGTGAAAAGGAATAAAAAGAAAATCTTTTAACGAATTCAAAGCCAATTAAAAAAAATGAACAGATCTACTTCACCCATTTATATCATAGGTACTGGAAAAAAAAAAAAAAAAAAAAAAAAGCAGAGCAAACGAACCTTGGTGAAGATCCCAACACCACACTCCATGGCAACTTTAGCTAAGAAAAGATCATCAGCCAAAAGCCTTTCTTTAAACCCACCGAACTGCATCAACCACCGCATAAACCCCGACTTTTCAAGCCCCAAGTACCTCTCTATAACCGATCCAGGAATCCTCCCAGCTTGGATCGCTGCCGCCAAGTCCTTCGGCAAACTCTCCATTGACCTCCCTGCCTCCGCCAGTACAATCATCGTCTCTTTCCTGTTCTTATCACCCGCATTCTCATCACCACCCTTGCCTTTTCCATTGTCATTGTTTCCACCGCCACCACCTGAGTTGTTGTTGTTGCTGCTGTTAATGTCGCCACCATCGCCGCCGGGGAGGGTAGAGAAGGTTAAGAACGGGGAAGGTTGGCGGTGGCGGAGACTGATGGAGGAGGAGGAAAGGCGGAGATGAAGGTGGAGAGGGAAAGTGTTGGAGAATTTAGGGGTGGTCCTAGGGAGAGGAGAGTAGGATGGGAAAGAGGAAGGAGTGAAAAGGCAGGTGGCGGCGGACATTGGTGGGCGGTTGGTGGTGGTGATGGGCGTTGCGTCAAAGTTTGGAGTGCTGTTTCTCCTAACGTTGTTTTCGGAGCAATGTGCTTTGGTTTGTCGTTGTTGTGTTTGTCTATGTAACCTTTTTCTTGAGTTGTTGGTGGGCGTTCGTTATCAAACATGAGAAGACGCCACACGGGATAAATTCCAGTCTAGGGATAAATTCCTTCCTACTCTACTTTTCTCTCACGTGAAACTCACGCTTTTCCTACTCACCTTTTTCTTTGTCACACGCGGCACCTAACTTTTAGAGTTGACTTGTCCAAATTTTTTGTAATTTCAATTTGGATTTTACAAACCCTAAGGCAAAATGGGTATCGATTCGGTTGGGATATTTTGGTTATTGTATAATTCTTAATTTTTAAAAATTAATTCGAATTTTGATTTTTTTTTAAAATTATATTTATTGATTTCATTCAGTTAATTATATTTTTGAGATATTTTTTATTTTTAATTGTTTTAATATAATTTTTAATATATTTAAATAAATTTATATATAAAATAATTATTTTATTTTATAAAATTTAAAATATATATAAAAATTAATAAAAATATATAATTCAGTTTAATTTTTTTATCTGTCGGTTTGAATTTAACATAGCTATTTAATATTCAAATTTAAATAAAATTAACTTAAAAAAATATGATATAAACAAAAACTATTATTTCAACTAAATTTTTTTATTTTTAAAGATTTTTTTCTCACCTCTACCAAGATAAAAGTTATGAAATGAATAAAATATATATTAATTTTTTTCATAATTCAAAACGAATGAATGTTCATGTCTAACAAAAAAAAAAGTTTTTTTTTTCTAATAACAAGAATAATTTCTTGTGCCTTGATGGTTAAATGCATTCATATTCAGATCAGATGTTATCAAATGTAGAGAATAATTTATCTTATTCAAATTAATAAAATTACTTTTGATTTGATGTTAAACCATATGTTTGGTGAAAGATTCATGACAATATTATAACAAAAAATCAAACACAGCAACAAATAGAAATCACCATTATCAAGACTAGTTAAGTATTAAATAAGTTTTGTTTTTTACACGTACTTTTATATTGTAAAAAATAATAAAAATATGATAAAATTCAGTATAAAAATAATTATTGAAATTATGAGTTTCCAAATATGCAGTGTATCAATATTTCAATTTTTTTTATAGATCAGAAATTAATATTAATTTTCTCAAACCTGTTTGAAATTTTTGTCTCAAAATTATCACAAATTTTTGCTATTCTATCACACTTTTATAAATATTAACAATTTTCTTTGGTCGGGTATTTTCATAAGACATGATATAAGTGAATTAAATATGAATGAATTTTATTATATTTATAATTTATTTATTTAATTAATAAATTTTAAAATATTATTTAATATCATTTATTAAATTTAATAAATAAATAAAAGTTAAACGTGTTTACAAAATATTTTATCGAACGTTTTAAATTTTTACACTCTTATTCATAGTTATAAATTTTTTTGTCATTAAAGATAATGGAAAATATTAACAAGTTTTGATGTAATTTAACAGATTTTGGCTACAATCTTTTTAGGACGTAGCTTATAAAATTTTATTAAAATACTTTTTAGGGGATATGCTATAATCTGAATTTTTTTTATTGTAATATATTGCTAATAGTGTAAAAAAAGGACGAAAATAAACTACCAAAACGAGCGTTTTCCAAACCGGCTCAAACGTACGATTAAGGAGCCATTGATTTGTTTGTGGCATGGTGAGGATTAGAGATAGAGCTGATAACGAATTAGATCGAGATAAATTTTTATTCGTTTCGAATTTAATTTAATTTTTTATTTATTAAATTTAAATTTGATTTGATTTAAAAATTTTTTTATTTTTTTATATTTGATTTGAATCGATATTTGTATAAACTGTACTTGATTTGATCGGATCTGAAATTAATAAAATATTATTTTTTAAAATATAAAATATTATTTTTTAAATATAAATATTTAAATATATAATTATATAAATATATATAAATAAAAAAATTAAAAATTAATTTTTATATAAATATCAAGTCAAATTTATTTAAAATTTGAATCGATTTTTTCTTAATAATACTCAAATTCGATCCAAAATTTAATTTTAAAAAAAAATTAATTTTAAGAGATTAAATCAAATTGAAACCTATTAAAAACGAATTAAATTACTAACCCAAAGTAGAGTGTATACAGTAACCAGAGCATTGTAGTGGGTGCCACGCCACACTGTAGGCTCCGTTTAGAATATTAAAAAATAAAAATTAATTATTTAAAAAATAAAAAGAATCTTTTCTCTGTATTATTATAGGTGTAGTATTTAAGAACGGAAGAATCTTGGCAGAATATAGACGTGGTGTAATGTTATTTTGGGTCAAATTCAAAAAACGTGTTTATGCATGGAGAGTTAATAAAAAAATTGGTAATTTATACTTATATATTTTTTATTAAATATATAAAAATTATTATATCAATTATATGTCAAATGTGAAATATTTTTTTATTTTTGTCAAATTCAAATACAATTTTTATTTAAAAAATTAAACTGTATCATTTTATTTTTTTTACATATAATTTTTGTATCATATTATAATATTTTAAAATTATCAAATTTAATAATAAACAATAGTAAACTTATAAAATTCATTTAAGTAGTGGTGTAATCTGATTGGGACACTTGAATATTTTTCATTAAAATTGTATATTTTGTCCTATAATTGGACAATTTGAATATCTAACTATTTCTAAATTAGTAGGGGAATAATAAATTTATAAATATTTATATTTTTTGAGTGATCAAACAATACAAGTTGTTAAATAAATAAAAAAAAACAATACAAGTTGTTGGAAACTTTTAACATTTCTATTCTCGTATATGTATTTTAGATTTTCTAATTTTTTTTAAATTGATTTATAAATTAAGAGTGTTTATTTAGTTAGTTCGGTTAATTTCAAATCGAATTACTCAAAATCGAATTAATCGAATTATTTTATTTTATTTTATTTTTATTAATCGAACCAAATTTCTTAATTTAAAAAATTAATTGACTGAAATTAATTTGGTTGGTTCAGTTAATTTTTTGGGTTAACAGAATAATAAAATACATTAAGTTAAATTATATTTTAAACTCTTATTTTCTTATATGCGAAACAAATTAAATAAAATTATCCAACAAAATATTCAAACATTAAAATATTAAGTTAAAAACTCTAATAACTTGAAATGAAATAGACAAATTCATATATTTTTAATTTTATATATAGGTTTTATAATATTTTGATTAAAAATTCGGTTAATTCAATTTTGAACTGAATTAACATAAAATCAAAATTTTTTTAAATTATTTTTAATAACTGACCAAAATTAATTTGATAATCGATTGATTAACCGAATTAAATCAATTTGGTCTGTTAATTCAATTAAAATCGAATTATGAACACTCATACTACAACTAAGATTAAAAGGCCAAAGGGCAAATCATTTTGAGAATCTATACACCCTTATATAAAAAGGGTCATTTTAAGTTATCTTAATAAGACATGTGTTTTTTTTTTCTTTTTTATAATGCTATATCATTTACAGTGTGTTTTGATTGAGAGGAGATGAAGGAAAGAAAAGTAAAGTAAATGAATATAAAGAAAACAAAACCTCACTTCCCTTGTTTGGATAAATTTTTAATTTAAAGAAAGGGAAGGAGGTGAAAACCAAATAACCTTTGGTTTCTCTTATAAACCTAATTTTTTTAATACCCCAATTTGGAGGAAAAGTTAGGGAAAGGAAAGTTGAAAATTATTTTTTTTATAAAAAGATTATTATGTCTATATTTTTATTAATACTAAAAACATAATAAAAAAAACTAAGTAGATCACAGTCGTCTTATAATTTTATGAAAGCCATCTCTTTTTTAAGTAAGTTTCACATATCTCTTTTAATATAAAATTTTTTTATAATTTTTTGGTAATTTGATTTTGATGAATGGTTGAATATGAATAGATATATTTTTTAGATTTATGAGATGACGGACTAGTTCAAAATTCATCAATGCATGTTTGTAAAATATTTTTCTGTTTCACTTGATTAAAAATCATTGATATAGCAGTAATTGTGAGGTCAGATAAAATAGCAAACATATCATAGTCCAGAAATGCTCTAAAATCATAGGTAATAAAAGGTTATAATTGAAAAAAAATTATTATAATGAATCATTTCCTTTCTTTTTCACTATTTATCCAATAAAATTCTTTTTTTTTCTTTCCTTTATTAATTTTAATTATCCAAACAAATGTTACATGTATTCTTTCCTTTCCTTTAAAAAAATTTCTTTTCTATTTTTTTCCTTTCCTTTCCTTTTCTTTTATTAATATTTATCCAAACATAGCATTAAGGTAGGGAGGGGGTTTTGTTTAGTTGGAGATAGGGTTTGTCATTTTGGTAGAGGGAGAGTTTCGTCTATTTGAAGTGCATGGCAAAAGTTTTTTCTACTTCTTATAGGTGTTTCATTTTCTTCTTACAAGTGTCTTTGGTGTTGTTTTTTCTTTGACAGTTATCTTTGACTGGAAGAGGTTTAAAGTTGAGTTTTGAAGTTTATGTTTATGGGTTTTCATTGTTGTTGCAAAGTTGTTACACATAGTTTAGTCTATAATTTTTTTTATCTTTTTTTTTTTTTCTCCTTATTTTTGCTAAATTTGTTTTTCTTTTTTTGTTGATTTTGATGTTATACATTTTTATGTTGCATGATGTTTGGGTTTTGTGATTCTCGAGGATACACATTGTTTTTAATGTGTTTTTTTTTTAGTTATTTGTTTTTGCATGTTTTGAAGTTTGATGAAACTTGGATTTTTTTTTTTATTTTGGGTTTTCATTGTTGTTTTAGATTTTGCTTTGGTGTTTTTGGGTGAAATCTATATTTTTGGTAAAATGTAAAAATTGAGTTATTTATATTTATAATAAGAAGATTATGGTAGTGTATGAATACTATGTATGTGTTTTGCTTTTGGATACCTTTTTTTTGCTTATCATGATGTCAAATAAAAGAAATATTGCTTATACAAAAGAAGTTGAAAAGATATTATTTCTTTT